GTGTGTTAGTGAAAAATGAAGGATTGGTTACTTGTAGGTTTATACAATGGTTTCTAGGGAATATTTCATTTGCGATGGCAATCAACAGGACACAAGGATAGTCGCTAGAAGTGTATGGCATAAAACTGGAAAGACTACATTTGTTTCGCAAACCAATGATTTTCAACAAAATATAAATTCAACTTTCTTTACATTTCAAAGTGTTAATGTATATATGTATATGACATACTATCATAATATCATACAAAATGTAATCAAATCGGTATTTTTTCTGAAAGTTGGTAGTAGTGTTGGTTACATCTATGCTAAATTTCACATCAAAATATTCATTAGTATTTGAAAAGCGACATTTTGAGAGGCTCTAAAAGGGAATTCGTCGATATTTACCATGTCCGAATGTGTTGAAGAAAGAAGTGCGATAATGCACCATCTCATATTGCATTGGTTATTAGTGATAATTTCGCCACCTTTTCAACTAATATCGAGCCGCAACCACCGCATTTGCCTGATTTACTTTCATGTAACTTCTATTCAGAAAATTCATATGACCAGTCCGAGGACACCGTTTTGCCTCAATTGAGGATATAAAAGTTTATTAAAAAAAATGGGCGGACCGCACACTACATTAAAATTGTCATTGAGTGTACATTTGAATGAAATTCCAACTTGCAATATTTCCGAAATTCTGCATTAGTTCTGCGATTAACATCAATTATTTTATGGGATGAGTGTACAACGCCGAATAAAAAATCACTAGAAGCATTTATTCGAACAATGAAATATTTAAGTGATAATCAACAATTGCTAGAAATTATTGATGGTAAAATACAAATCGACAGTACCAACGGATTGATCACTATACCGAATAATTTTTGTACAATTGCGCAATCGATAGATGAAAAGATCACCGAAGAACTGTGCCTAAAAAATAAGGTGACATTGTATTTATTTTGAAAATTCTTTATTTATTCTACCAAATCAATTCCATCCCCTTCAAAGTAATCCGCTCCGGATGCAATGCACTTATGCTAACGGATTTTCCAATCTTCAAAACACTGGATGTAGTTACTTTTCGGGATGGCCTTCAGCTTCGTCTTCTCTGCTGCTTGAATCTCCTCTATCGTATAAAAACCGGGTCCCCGGAGCGGTGTTTTTAGCTTGGGGAACAGCCAGAAGTCGCACGGTGCCAGATCAGGTGAATACGGTGGTTGCGGAACGATATGGTTTGAGCTTTTGGCGAAATGATCACGAATTACGAGGGCAGGATGGGATGGTGCATTATCGTGGTGTAAAAACCAAGAATTGTCTTTCCACAACTCCAGCCATTTTAGGCGGATAGCGTTACGTAAACGACGCATAACGTTCAAATAATATTCCTTGTTGACTGATTGACCGGCTGGAAGGAATTCATAATGCACAACACCACTATAATCGAAGAAAACCGTCAACATGACCTTGAATTTTGAGCGACTTTGGCGCTATTTTTTTTGGTCTCGGTTCTCTTTTGGCACGATATTCGCTCGATTGATCGGTAATTTCGGGGTCGTAAGCATAGATCCAAGCCTCATCGCCAGTTATAATGCGCACACAAACACTTCAACGCGACGCCTTTTTTCCAAAAAATTCAATGTTTTCGGTACCAGTCGAGATTTGACGCGCTTGAGGCCGAAAACATCCTTCAAAATAGTATTGGCTGAGCCTTTCGATATGCCAACTTCATCAGCACGGTCTCTAATTTTTAGTCGACGGTTTTTCAACACCAAATCTTTTATTTGTTGAACGTGAGCTTCGTCGGTTGAGGTTGATGGTCGCCCTGGACGCTCTTCGTCTTCGACACGTTTACGGCCAGCTTGGAACTTACTATACCACTTGTAAACATTTTTTTAGACATAGCCTCTCCACCAAAGGCTTTCTGCGCCATCCTCAACGTATCCACAGAAGAAAGTTGATTCCGTAAACAAAATTTAATGCAAATTCTTTGCTCAACAAATTTCGACATCGCAAAAAACGAAAAACTCACTTTTAGCTGAAACACTAATGAATATTTTGACATGAAATTTGACATAAATGTGACTGACAGTACTACCAATCTAAAAAGAAAATAATACTCCAAATCCTTCGACGCGCGCAGTTTAAATTCAAATGTCACTTTATTTTGTGGGCACAGTATCAATCGACAATGTAATGAATCAAGATGAGGCAATGAATTAACCAATTGAGTTTTTAAATTCGTTGGAACCAGCTAATACAATATTTTGTTTGTTTGAATAAATTAATTACATTTAAGCGTATTGAAGCACGCACCAGGCCGCTAGTAAAATATATATGTTTTTGAAAATAACAAGCCTGGACGAACGTTCAACCGAAAACCTTCAAGCTTATTTTTTCCTAATGATCAATTTCGTTTTGTCTAAATACTTTTTAGTTGCATCTTAAAACGGCAAAAACACTTGCGGTAATCGGCAATTGAAGTAAATTGAAACCTCCCTTACGCGAACGACTTTTGCCCGCCCAATAGAGTGTTCGCTTGAGTGGAGGGCGATTTTAAAACCAAAAAAATATTAATTTGCTGCTCACCAATTTATCAAAAATTTTTATATTTTATTGCTCAAACAAGGATTAATTCAAACGTAAATTTAAGGGCACACCTAGTGTGAAATTTTGAAAAAATCGATTTTTTTTTTTTTTTCGATAGTTTATACCTTTGTAAATAACATCCTAAAATTTCATTTCGATGACTTTTTGTTAATTGTTTTATTTACTTAATTGTTGTTGACGAAACGGTTACTGACGAATTATCTGCCAGCGAAACTGAAGACCTAAATGACGTATACGCTCAGGATGCGGGTCCAAATTAAATCATACACTGATGCACTAAAACAACTTCGTCGCATTAAAAAATTCGTTAGTGACGACGTTACTTTATTTCAGTACGCCAAAAATTTCGAAAGCCATCTTGAAAACTGTATAAAACAGAAACAAGGAAAGTTGCGACAAACTACGGTAAAGGAATTTTTAAAAGTCCAAACATAAATAAATATGTTCAATTTATTATAACTATGAAACATCTCCATTACCAAGAAATCTAATTTATTTAAAAAGTAGTGTGAATAAATTTTGGTAAAATTTTTATCTTCCACTCCTATAAGCGGATTATATTAAATAAAATATAAATATATACATATAATTTGGGTGTTTCATTTAAAACTTTTTTGACTTTAAGCACTTTCTTTTTGATTTTTCATGCTTTTCACATATTTAGAAGAAAATGAGTGAAGGGTGGTTTTATAGAAAACTTCTAAACGAAAGATTTGCTCACAGACTGCTCGATATTTGCGATAAAATGAACTGGGGTTAACATATTATGTTTCTGGGAGCTTGAGCAGTTATAGTCCGATTTTGGCAATTTTCGATTATGCCCATCATCAAATATTGACCCCGCCCTGTATTAAGCCTTATCATACTATGATATGATGACTCTAGCGCATTTATTAATTGATTTGGTGGGCTTTTAATATAATAGTTTTTAACAAACCCGTTATATGGGCAGTGGGCGCGATTATAATCGAATTTTTTTATAACATGAGCTTATAGATCTTTTTGCCCAGAATTTTATTTCTTAAAACAAAGGGAAGTACTTAAAGCCAACATTCAGTACTGAAAGGTTTTTTCAAATAAAAAAAAACAAAAATTTCAAAAAAATTAAATGAATCACCCTTATATACCATATAGCATGTAATTTAAAGTTATAGTCATATACCGGGGCTGCCATAACGCATTATTTTGTCCTTTCCGTGATAGTTCCGCACCACGCTGTTTTTCTTCCAAGCGGTTTTTTTGAGCTGATGCGGCTGTTACATCACCTTCTTCGAGATATCGTATATCTGGGCGCAGTCTTGAATCGGTGTTACACAAAGGATGCGTTGCAATTGGGTTGATAGCATTAAGCTGCATCGCAAAGTCTGTAAAGTGATAATACTAAAAATGCATATAGTGAAACGTTAATTGAAGGCATAGGTAAAATTAAACAAAGTAAGTCGCATGTCTTGTGCAATAAATTAGAAGGGATAATATCGGGCTCACATGCATTAACACATAGGAGAAGGGAACTAAAAAATATTAATATTCAAATGTGTTCAACAAGTATAATTTCAACTTTTAAATGGAATAATGGCATTTTGCGAATAATTTAATATAAATAAGTAATGGAAGACTAAGTTCGTGTGCAGGCTAATATTTTAATCTGTCACATTTTGCAATGCTCAGTGGAAAGGAAATATTTTCAAATTTTGCAAAATATTGTACACTCACTCTGATACATATACTTGGTCCACAATACAGGGCATGAGCTCGCTGACAGTGCTGTGTATGACCAAATTAGCAGTAGCATCAAGTTACTTATAGTTATAGTTAGACTACTTTGGGTACCTGGATTGTAAAAAATGGCACCTCACTAAAATCCCATTCAGACGGAAACGATACCGTGTTACCCTGGTCTCGCTAGGTCTGTTGAATTATTTGCTCTTAGGAAGGTATGTATATCTCACTGCAATGATAGGAGTCCTCATTTCAAAAACTAAATTAAGCACCTAAGGAAGAGCAATGAATGGGTATAATTGAAAAAGCTCTTGTAATTTGTAAGAGTCAAGGTAGAAGAAATATTTTAAGTGTTGACAAAGTTTTTTAATAAAGAAGTAGTACTTTTATATTCCACAAATAAGCAAGAGCTACGTTCTGGTGGGACTGAACATTTTATACTTTTGCAATTTGCGAAAATCAAAGCCAGGAAATACTTTAAGGAGTAAAACGTCAACCGGAAGATCGAAATCCAAAAAATTTTATGTATACATATAACATACTTTTATACTGACAGACACATAAGGTTTGTTAGAAAAACAAAAAACATTATATCTTTAAAGTATATACAGTATATACTTAGTAGTAGTATCGACTCAATTTCATCTACTTTTCCCAATACCACATACTATTAACCTGTCCCATAATAAAAAACCAATCATATAGAGTAATGTTAGCCGGATATTCGAAAATCCTGATATTAGTTATGTAGGGGCTATGTCAAGTTTTTGCCCAATTTTATTTATTTTAGATACAAAGGTATACTGTTATGAGTAAAATATGCTAGAAGCATTCCATGAAAAAGTGGAACTCTGAACTGTTTTACAAAAATGCATTTTCTATAAATTCTCATCTAAAATAATTTACAAAAGTTGTAGTGAGTATGTCTCATTTTTTGTAAATACCGTTATTTATTGAGAGTAACAACAAGTCGGATTTTTTCATTAGTCTTTACACAACTTTTTGCGAGGTCGCTGCCGCTATTGTTTATCAGATAGAAACTAGATTTCTGTTCTTAGTTATAGTGTATGGTCCGCTTTATTTAACTGCATACTAATTTTTTTGGGTAAGTGTTTTTTTTCATAAGAAATTAATCATAACGGAAAGGTAAGTTTCGATGTCCCATACGTGACGCTTAATTCCTTTTTCTATTAATAATTGTAAAACAAGTTTGAAACTTTTAGCGGTCTAAAAACTGGTGAAACAATTTTGTTTCAAATCGCTTTGCTTACAATATATTCTTGGTGATAATAAAGTGTCTGTACGTGACGCCAAAGAATAAGTTATCTGACATCTTCAACTTTTACTGGCGTTTGTAATAAACATAGCCCTTTTTTGTACTGAAAATCTCAATAACGCAAAAATGAGCGACCAGTAACCATCAACCAGTTCTAGCCGTATGCGAAAATTTCGAGAAAAGCAAAAAGAGAAAGATCCAAACTTTACCGCTAATGAGACTAAAAGATTGCGTGAGCTTCGTAAACGAAAACCAGAAAATCTTTCTCAAGGTGATTTAAAAGCAATTTTACTTAAGGAAAGGGATAAGAAGATATTGCAAAGGGCAAAAAAGCGGGTTGAACTTAAAAATCCTACCGATTCTCCTGTAAGTACTGAATCTCCGTACAAGTCGAAATAGACTTTATCTAAAGCTGTTCAAAAGGCTCTAAAAGCACGGCCTCAATCACCAAGATAGAAAAGAGTGGTTTTTACAGAACTAGCGCGTAAAATGGACATTGCTCTAGCAGAAAGCCCAAGCATTAGCACATCAGGTGACGATACACGTTATGACGATGTGAAAGCATTTTACTATCGCCGGATATTGTGTATACCTGCCCAGGCGCAAATGATTTCATCGTTGTTTGGGAAAACGGCATTAAGAAGAAGTGTCAAAAGCATTATTTGACTTTGTACCTACAAGAAGCCTTTTGAATTTTTAAAGAATTTTTTCCCAATATCGAAGTTGGATTTTCAAAATTTTGTAATCAAAGACCGAAAAACGTTATGCTAATGAAAGACACACCTTCAGACCAGTGCAAATGTTTAACTCATGAAAATTTTATGAGTTCAAATTGAAAGGTTTTAAACAAAATTATTGTGACGACTTTTGGACTATGATTTTATGTGATCCTTCTTTGGATTATAAGTGCTGGAAAAATTAATGTGATACTTGTTCTGATGGCAAAAAAATATTAATATCTATGGATTTAAGTACAATCTGTGTATGGAAAGAATGGAAAATAAACTCAGAAAATAAAGTACGTTTAGTAAACCACGAAACAAGTTCAGGTGAACTTAAAGAAAAATTGATTGATTCTATCCATGTTATGATGAAGCATGTTAATTTAAAACGAGTTCAAGCCGGTGAATTTCAAAAAGACCAACGCAATAAAAATGTGCGAATCCTTCAAGTTGATTTTGCGATGTCTTTTGGCTGTGAATACCAGAATGAAGTTCAAAACGCACTCTGGTCACGAACAAGTGTTCTTTTATTTACTGCTGCAAGTTTTTACAAAGGCAATTGCCAAACATATCTTATATGCTCAGATGCAAATTCGAAAGACAAGGATACAGTTTTTGTTTTCATCAGTAAGTTGTTTTACTTGATGCTTAAAGAAAATGAAGACTTACCTTCAGCGGAAATTATTTGGAGTGACGGCCCTTCATCGGAGCGAAAAGTACAAAAGGCCCTTTTATTGGAAATATTTTGCTACATCGCATGGAAAAGGTGTGATAGACGGAGTTGGCGGAAATATCAAAAGACTTGTAAGAGAGAAAATGATGAGCCAAAATGAACATGTTGTTGGCCAATCAGCCAAGGACTTTTCTGATTTAGCTTCTCAATTAGTCACAAAAACCCGTGTGATTTATGTGCCATCCTCTGAAATTTATGAAAGGATTAAAAGTGCATCGCCGGGGGATAATGCCAAAGCGATAACTGGATTTTCCAACTTCCATTTTAATAAAACTGTGGAGAAAGTTGTGGAGTGCAGAAAACATTGCTGCCCAAATGTGCACAGAAAAGTTCTAACCACTTTAACGCTTCTTTAATAAAAATGCACACGGCCTAAAATATACAATCATTTAACGTTTATTTCTAGTATTAATTTATATTTTACAAAATTCGTTATTATAAATCTCGACGGAATATGCGATGAGACTTCACTTCCGAGAAAGATTTTCCGATGCTGGTGACCGCGAAACTGCGGGTCTAGGTCGCATTGGATAATACGTTAGAGGCGTTAGATGTTGACGCGGCGCAGTGTATGAGCGAAAGTGTCGAACAAAAAGTATCTGCTTTCTCCTTGTCCATCCTTTTTGATGAGTGAGTGTATACGTATGGTGAGTTGTGTTGGTGTCATCAGCTGTGGTTAACTAAGCTGTCTTATTAGGGTGCGCCAGTTTTTCCCGGGTAGAGTAGGTGGACGCTTAACTAATTTAAACATCCTGGGCTCCCTAGGCGAATATTTTGCCTAGTATTGCGTAGGTATGTGCTGTTGCATTTATTTCGGCGTACTGCTGGTAGAGTAGTCGAAGCGAGGAATGCGTTCTGACAGCAGAAGTATTTCCTGATGATACTCTTATTTATCCGTGTGTGTGTAGAACGGGATTTTGGTTTGAAACATACAACATGTATTAGAATATGCATGTAAGAAATTATTAGCACATAAGTCGCGCATATTGCGCGCTGGCCGATATGAGCAACGAGCCACATACGCGAATTCAGTGTAACGTTGCGAGTCTTAGAGGACACATCGTTGTAACTTTTAATAAGAAAATTAATTTGTTAAAAAAAAGGGGACAAAGAAACAATAGTGAATAATTAACATTGAATGTTGTTTTTTTGTTATTTACAGGTAGGATAAGTTCTATATTGTTATTTTAGTCTAAGTATAATTAAGTTTGTATAAAATAATAAAAATTTTGTTATTTGCAGAAAAACAATTCTTGTAGTTATCACTACGTATTATAAAACAACAAACAATTCTTGTAGTTATCACGACATATTATAAAACAACATTCTCGTTGTAATTCACAATGGACAAGCTGCAGTTCACATTCACGATGCTATCTACTACAGATGAACCAAAGACATTAGTACTATGCGTAACCAG